CTCCAACGCTGGTTTGTATGGTAGTTTGTTTTTAGGGTTAGCTCACTCGTGGGTCTTGCATTTTAAAAGGAGACACCAGCTCTGCGGACTTCAACAAGCCTTCGTAGAGTATCTATTGTCGTGCGCATACAATGACGCCCGCGCGACTTTCGGTAGATGCGGCATGGATCGGATATATATTTACTTCGACATCCCGAAACCGGGTTTGGCCCAACGCTTTGCTGTGGCCAAGTGAGTGTAATGTGGTGTTGTGACTCTGGAAAGGATCGATGGAGTGCATGTTAGCTATTAGGGGCTTCATACCCAAACTTGTATGAATAGTTTAGAAGCAAGTGTAAGTCCTCGTGGAATCAATGCTCTCCTGGGCCAGTTAAGGAAAGGAAAGACAAGAAACATAACCTGTGCTCATCCACGTGTGGCTTTACATATTAAAAGGAGACATCAGCTGTGCAAACTTCAACAAGACTGTGACGCATACAATGGCGTCACAGCGGATGTGCCAGTGCTCGGATATCTATTGTGTCGGAAGCATCAGGAAACAAGGTTTGTACTAACGCTCCACTGGTGACGAAGTCGTGCTGTATGTGTGCAGAGGAAAGCGACCCAGTCTGCACTAATAATGTATGTTAGCTAAATCGGTATAATCTAACAGAGGTGGCAGATGAGATGCATCTGCGGATCTTTCTATATCTTTGAGAGACCTCTTATTCCTTTAAGTACTCCTTTAAATTAAAAGGAGACATAGTTGCATCTTGAGCATCTTCAATAGATATGTTTTGGTACGGACATTTGGGCAGTTGTATACGTCGAAGTGCTTCGACGCATCAAGCATAGCTTACTCCACACCCAGGACATTATTTCCGGCGACGTTCGCTTTGATTGCCAGTTTCCAATTTCGCCCATGGTGAGCAAATCCAAAGCAGCTACTGCTTCACCCGCTGCTAGCAGCAGCACCAGATCTGCAAAGGTAAAACCCCATCAAGAAGTCATTACCGTGCGTGCATCCCCTGTTACCTCATCAACTGCAACGCACCACGATAATCAAGCTCTACAAGCTCGGCCAACTCCGTATCAGCGACTCCGTGAGCTCCTCGCGGACGCTGGGCGCGTGATATCCAGTGTCGAAGGTAATGATGTCTTGTGGATTATCTTAGCGCTTCGCTAACTGCGAACGGTTCTATGCCGTCGTGAACTAGAGCTCCAGCAACATATCCAGGCCTCTGGCAGCACTGAGCACAGAATCACTATGAGATTGAAGCTCCTCTGGATCTCTGATCACGTTCACAAAGACCTCGCGTTTGTGAAACTACACTTCATTGATGCAGCTTCACCAGAGCCTTTGCAGGACCTTCTCGGGGTATGGTCATTTAACAAGTT